AAAATAAAAAATATTTGAAGTTTTTTATTATTAAAATTAATGAAATTATTTTTGTTTTACAAATTTTCGAAAATTTTGATAGTTTTTCGGAATTTTTTTTGAAAATTTCTGTAAAATTTTTAACAGGTGGAAATCTCCAGAGTTCTTCACCAAAAAATTTTCCTGATGACAGTAACTTCAATCCAATTGAAAATACAATATATGAAAAGAAGTTAAAAGTTGAATTTACAAGGATTGGTAAAATTTACAAACCAAATCTAAGTTAAAAGAGCCCATTATTGTGGTTGGCATAATATTGAATCTGGTAAAATTTATAGTTTTATTGTCTCTATACCAGACCGTGTTAAGGAGGTAATAAAAAATTTTTGGAAGAGATAAAAATAAAAATTTTGGTACACATTTTTTTAATGAAAATCAGGTTTAATTTTTGAATACTCCTCTATACTTTTTTATTTAGTTTCTTTTCTCGATACAATCGAGTTTGAGATTTTGAAAGTATAAACATAGAAAGATAAAGATAGATACTTGCTAGTGTTTTTAAGAAGATTTTTGAAGCATTGCTGTATTATGATAAAAATAGCGTATTTATTAGTATACATTATATTGAACTATGATAATTTTTTTCTGGAGTCACAAGAAGACAATCGTATAATAATAAATTAGTAATAAAGCCCACTTTCGCCTTGAACAATAAAAAGGGATAAGACATTATTATTAGGTTAGCAAAGCAAAGGAAAATAATTACTAAAAAAAGTCTCAATTCACAAACTAGTTTGTATTAGGGTTGTTTAAACGGGGGTCTGTAAGTAGTTTTAGTTTGAAGTGAATAAATTTTTTCAGGTGTCTTCGCATGCTGTATATGACAATGTCGAATGCAATTGAAGAAATTTAACTAATATATTGGTAGACCATTTATCTTCGTTTAATGCTAATTGAGTTATCGATAAATCTTCTTCATGTGTGCATATTATGTCATCGAATGAAATAATGTCTTGCTCACACATATACTGTAAGTCCCAATTCTCACGCCGCATAACAATGATTTGAAACCGGTGATAATGAATATGACGTGAATAGCTCATGCCGTATTAGGTATATAAATATAGTATCATTTTTCTGAAATTTTAACGTGGAAAAAAAAAAAAAATGCCACTTCCAGCACCACCGCGAAACCCCTCGTCAGAAGATTTTAATGAATTGGCCACTTACATGGGTAGTTTGCTGTCGAATTCAGGTATTGTCGGCTAACAGAATTTGAACTATGTTTTCAACTACGTTGATAACACCTTTCACATTCTCTTAATAGCGCCCGTGACAGTGACCCAGATTCAGTCGCTTGAAAATCAATTGAAGTCATTTCGCGAACAACTACAACAATCCCAAAAACAACAATACACTCAAACTCAAGAGCAATTTCAAAAACTTGAACAAGTAATAACTAAGGGTCAGGATCGGTTCGTCGAAGGCTTGAATAACTTAAATAAGAGCATAAATCAATTTCATAAAGCAATGGAACAAACTGTGAAACAAGTTGGCCAAGATATGCGGAATGATGCTGCACGCCAGCACAACAAGAAGTCTCGCGAAAGATGGTGGAGGCTTGAAGAACTGTTTAACAATGCAGGGAACAAACCTTCTAAAGCATCGCCAGTTGTGTGGTTTCCAGCAACTATAGGCGACTTTGAAGATTTGCGTGATCAATATTACTATAGCAGTAATAAGGAGGAGAGCGAAAATTCAAAAAGGTATACATTTCTGGGCTGACTCATTTACAGTATACGTACTACAGTATGTCAGTTCAATGATTGCTAATACGTATGTATTTCTCACAATTCCATGTAGGCTAAAGGCTATTCTTAAATTTTATAACTACTCTCCTAGTAATGATTTTGAAACTAATAAAAAATGTGTGGGTCGTTACATCGGCATTCTTCCTTGATCGAATCCTTGAAGATTTCAAAAGCTAGGAGCATAAAATGAGAATTGCGCATATTATTGTTCATTATGGTCACGTTTGATTTCACGGTACAATAATTATAATGATTAAATCACTTGAGTTTTATATTTTTTAAAAAAACAGATATTAATCAATATACAGTAAATATATTGTGTGTCGTATATGGGACATTGAAAAATATACTGTATACGTATTATGTTGCTACAATACATCTTTTTATATATATAAAATAAACTATAATAGATTTTTTGTTCATCGACCCATCCTAAAAACAATACATCTTTTTATATATATAAAATAAACTATAATAGATTTTTTGTTCATCGACCCATCCTAAAACTACCCAACCTGTCCTACATTTTCCGAGCATGTCAATTTACTAAAGCCCTCAGAATCAAATCTGCTTATATGGCGTAAAGAATCTAATGTAAATGGGTGGCACTTGTCTTTGCAAAAGTTATTAAAGAAAAGGCCATTTTCGAACAATTCTTTAAGGGGAATTTGGATACATTCGAACCATTGATGTTGATCTCAAAGGATTATTATACGAAAAACCTAGTTCTGCGTAAATGTGTAGTTGTTCTTGGTTTCGTTGATATTAATAAAACGTGTACCCTCAATACACGACAGTATTGCCATATCGACCAATGAAAATTAAATACCCACGAAACTATGACGGTAGTGATGCAAAATTACGTAAATTACGTATTCGTATCTGATATGATGCGAGAAATCACGAACGTAATTGTCAATTTTCTTTCACCTTGGGGCAAATATCTAACCGCACGTAAAATAAATAAAATTCATATTAATTATACTAGATCCCTCGTATATTTTGTTGCCATTCACGTACTTCTTTGTTTGGCACGAGCCATACAAAATGAGAAAGGCTATATCAAAGATAACCGAGGAGGTACTGTAACTGTGTGTTTTAGCTATCGTATTGCGAATATACTTAGCCGCGGTTATTCCATCTTAATAGCTGTCGCAAATATGCGTCTCTTCTCCACACTATCAGAATGACCAGCAAGTAGGTAACTTGGGGAGAATGTTGGTACATTTTGCCTTCCAAGATAACGTGTTATTGTAGTTTTACCAAACCAATGTCATTTTTAATAGACTTCTCAGAAGATAGTGTGTCCTCCTTCACTCACACACACGCCGTTAGTTTCTCATAAAATGGTAATACTTTATGTCAAGTCTGCTATTATGCCAAACCCGGTATTGCTATAGAAACCAGAACATTTTGACTGCTAAAAAGGAACAGGATTATTAGTTCTACGTATTACGTCTACACAAAATATAGCTACACGAAATGAAAATAACAATGTTAATTTGTAGGCTTCCTTTACGCAGGATTATTCCTATACTACCGCTCTTCACCCTTACAGAATCGCGCGATCTGGAATAAAGGTAACTTTTATTCTAGTATTTATATGTACCTGAAATAATCCTTCGTGATTTGTCAATGCAATAAATGTTTTGAATTATGTAGACATCCTTTACGAGAGGAAGCACGGGCACACAAAACAAGGTATATTGGATACTCTGTAAATTGAATTCTCCCAGAAGGTCACAGATCAACTGACAATTCTTACTTGTTTTTTTTTCGATATGCCATAACTAGCTCCGTAGAATCTTAAATCATCTAGTGCGTTACAGCAAGCATTATAATATATATGGGAATTGGATATGCGAAAATGAAAATTGTGAATACGAATATCAAAGAAAATTCGAGCATAATGAATTCGAGACACTTTTAAAACGTCATCAGACAATTTCGTTGAAGCATGAATTACTTAAAGAATGTGAAATGTGTGAAAATAAACCTCTATTGGTTACGAGTTTTCGATTATACGCAACTCAAATTTTGCCTGTAAGTCAATATACCGTCTACATATCTCTAAAATATTAATACTCTCAGGTGTATAACAAAAATTTTTTCTTGATTTACAAATAATAGCCCAATCAAGTAAAACCCGCCATCGAGATCATTCGTAACTTAGAATGGGATGATTATTATAGAGTATTTGGCTTATGGAAATGCCAAATTTGCAAAAATAAATGGAGGAGCGCTTACACTTGGATATCTCTTCGTGAATTTATGTTAAAAACGTCGGTGCAGAAGTTAAAGGATTATTACATGCAACAATGCAAAAATTGCCACGGTAGCGCAAAATGCAGTGGTGAAAAGAGAAAAGATAGTGACACGAGCATCATATATGATTATCAACCTCTGCAGTTGTCTGGCG